ATTGATTGATTGATTGATTGATTTATTGATTGATTAATTGATTGATAACCACAAGTGTACTTTTTGAATATGGACAGCGAATGCATTCTTTTAGTATTTCAACAAGCACTTACTCATATCCATGACCCTCATCTGAATTTCAAACCTTTCAAGGAATTCATTTCGGAAAGTCAGCCTATTTCTCATTCGTCGTCCTTTCATCTGCCTTCTTGTTATGGTGTTAGCACTATGTCACTTCACCCGCTTGTTGTAGTGTCAGCACCGTGTTTCTTGTCGTAGTTTTACCCTTACATGGCCTGACTTTTTAAAAAGTCCTGATTTCGTCGCTATTAAATGTACAAGTAAGGTGGGCTAGATACCCAAACAGGCATGCGATCACTTGGAAGAGAAAACTCTCCACCTCACTATTTCAAATTCATTAATGCCGAGACTGACAGTTTTGCATGTTTAGACCAGTCCTTGGAATCGTAGACTGGGTTCTTCGTTGACTAAAAAAGGAATAACATTCTCTTAGATCAGCCTGTTCTACTGGAAATTTGCTAATCATGTTAGTTCTTCTTTTGTCGTATTTTCGCTGGTAGAACACAGTCGCCCATGCCTTGCTATTAAAATGGAAATTCTTTATTTTTGGTTTGAAAAATGCATAAAATTGTAGTTTTTGGACTGTGACCTTCTCAAACAATTAGACCGAACTTTCTCGTGTTCTACGAGTGATTTTCAACGCGGCTGCGTCTAGTTGACTATTCAGTCATGGAAAACGCAGGCTTGTAGTTTAACTGTCTAATAGTTGGCCAACATGGCGTTCTTTGTTCATAATAGTTGTCTTTGATGTCCTCTTTAACATTTTAGTGAAAAGTTATTCTGTGTAGGAAATTTCAAGTACGATAGTACTGAGAGCAGCGATCACTTTACTAACTATGAGAAACATGTTTAACATTGAACAAGTCATAATAATAATATATTAGTCATCTCCTAATATAAGAAAAAGATCAAATTTGCAGACGTTTGTATGGTCATTTGACAAGAGGTACGGCGTACATCTTTAAATAATGCAGCTTTTGAATACATCGGGTTTTATTGTGTGAAAAACCGTCGTTATTAACCGTTTCCTAAGTTTGTAGGTGGCTGATTGTGGCTCCCGCTGCCCGCCGTTTAACTTTACTCGCTCCAGATCCCCTCGACCAATGTTTTTCTCACGTGCTTACATTATAGATCGTCTTATATCCATTTCAAGACTGATGTAACGTCTTCTTCTTTTAATCTCTCTGATGGAGACCTGTTTTTGTTTTTTGCGATAGCATTGAGATTTTTGATGTAATGTCTAGAAATAATTTATTTTTATACAGTAGTAAAAACGTATGCTATAAACGTATGTACATTATTATTATTATTATTATTATTATTATTATTATTATTATT